ACAAACCCCAAGTTACTTGTCTCCTGTTCAGCTTTCTTTGTTCACCCCTCTTTTCCACAGTCCTTTCTGTTTCCTTCACCTCTGCTTCTCTCCATTTTTGGTTCATTTTGGGCCCAACCCTACCCCCATTTCCTCTAGCTTCTCCTCCCTTTCCTCTCTCTCTCTGTTCTTTTTTCCCTCTATCCTTTTCTGGTCTCATCCTGTGTCTTTACCCCACCATTGCTGCAGGGCTGCAAGCTCTGGCTTGCCCCCAGCTAGCAATAAAACATGAATAAAGCAGCCTCTGTACCTTTTTGTGGTGCCAGATTTGCTGGTTTCTGGGACTGTGTAGCACAGGTGTTTTTTTCATGCCGGCAGAAAATGCAAGGTACCACTCAAACGGCAAGGAGACAAAGAATGGAGGCCTTTTTATCACTCCTTGTGGTTTCCTACCACCCTGGTTAATACGCTGCTTTAGGAGGTGGAATGCATGCAATATATACTGTCTAAAACAGGCCAAGGGCTGAAGCCCTCCAAAAGCCAGGGGTCCATGGGCATGCCGCTTCACTGGCATTTATCTGGTATAGCTATTTATGCTCTGTGTGAAGTGAGTGCAAAATGCTGCCAGATCAAAATGCATAGGTGCATTTTGCATAGGTGCACATGATGACCAGAGAAGGAGCAGGCCCAAAACCACCTTACTATTGAGCACCAAAATCCAGGATACAGTCCCGGGTGCTCCGTAGATCTGTAGTTCACTCTATGGACCTCCTGAACAGGACGTAGTCTACATCGCAGATGCATTTCACTGGAATACATTAGGTTACCGAGCACCCCAGCAGGTATACTCTACCTGGACACTCCTGGTTGCTGATCACCAGAGTAGATTACTGCAATCTGCATGCAGCATAATGGCCAGTAGACTTGGTTCTTCTTGGACGTATCTTCAGCAATGCAGGAGGTGTATTCTTCCTGGAAAATTCATTGATGCTCAAGCAACTGCTGCTAAAAGTGCAATGTTTTTGTCTCTTTTGAAGAAGCAAAAAGTCCTGGCATGATATAAAATAATGATGAGACTTAATGAGTCTGGGTGCTTTAATAGATGCTGTTTCCCTTCAAGGAGGAAAAGGCAGATCTGGCTGATGGCACTGAGCTAACAAGGCATGCTAGAGTTAGAAGAAGGGCTGAGAGCCCAAGACAAATGGTAAGGACCCTCCTTCTTCCCACCATCTTTGTCCAGCATGCATGAAAACAAAGCAGTCCATATGACCTGGAAGGGAAATAATAATAGCTCCTTTTTGGTTTCCGGCAGATCCACTCACCTGGTGTCCCAGGAGGTTGGAAATCCACAGCTGGAGATGTGGTGAGTGGTGTCTGAACTCTGGAGTATGCAAAAATTGTGTTTAGCAGATGGACATTGGGAAACAGCACTCACTGCTTCCACACCCATCTGTTGAAGTAGGTTGTTGCCTACACAAGCTCATGCCTCTCTGAACCAGTTACTCTCTAAGGTGCCACCCTGCCCTGCCTTCTTTCCCTGAAAATGTGGTAGTACACTGGCAGTGAATGTGAAAAGTTTCCCTTTTTCTCACTAATATTTCTGGCATTGGTTGCACGTAAAGCAGTGTCCCTAGGCAGAGCTGAGTATTATGCTCAAGAGAGTTGAGCCAGGGCAGAGCACAAGCCTGAAGAATGCAGTCAGGAAAACCAGGCTTACCGTAATTTTGCACATACCATATGCCCTCAAATAACACAAGCCCTTGCTTTTGGGAAGGGGAGGAGACTGGGGAAGGTGAAGAGGGGAGTGGGGAAGGTGAAGATTTTCCCAGAGTTATGACCATAGAAAGAAGGAACAGAGCCTAATCTTCCACTCACTTACCTTCCTTTTCCTGCTTCACCAAAAGCTACAGTTTTAACCTTTCACAGGTGAATTGGCAGTTCCTAGCTGTTCAGCCAAAAGCTGAAATTGTAGCTGCTGCTGAAGAAGGGACATCATGGATGGGTCTAGGATTTTGAAAAGAGCTAAGAATAGTCTGCAGAGATGTGACACAGGAGAAGGGTACAGGAGTAGCTAATTTGCAAATTCTTCAGCACAGTTGCCATAGAAAAGATAGCTTGATGAGTAGAATATCCAGAACATTAAAAAGGAGAGTGGGCTGTTAACATCCATTGAGTGAAGTGCAATTAGGAGGAATCAAATAGATTATTTAGTAAGCCATAAAATCAATTGGTTCTCTCACTGCAGCCTGAATAGAAAATCCAGACCTGCTGTTCTGGGCAGAAAATCAGCTTCTCTGCCTAAGACATGCACTACAATTTTGGAAGGCTTATTTTTGGGAAAGGTTATATGTGACATGCAAGTAAATATGGGAATCACTGATGGATGAAAATAACTTAATATGCAGAGGGGATGGTGTGTGGGATGTGTTTGGAAAATACATATGCATATACATATACATACATGTCAAATTATGCATACCTGTTCGAATGCTGATACATTTGACAGTCTAGAAATGTGAAACACGGTAAACATAAGGACTGTGTATATAAGGAACATAAGGAGTACTGTGGCCTGGGAAAAGGGATAGCACTAATCATGGGGTGTGTAGCTTGCCTCCAGGTTCAGACAGCTCTTTTCCATGGCTCGTGGATCCACCGTCTCTGAAATCTCAGCATATCATTATATCCCCACTTCTGAAAACCATTTTCTTTTATTTTTAATTCAAGATGTATCCAGGAGTTGGAGGCACAAGGAGGATCAAGGTAATATTATTTGGGAGTGTCTACATGTGCATATTTATTGCGCAGTAACTGAAATTACTGCACAGTATGGGTGTGCATCTAGACGTGCATTCCCATACTGCGCAGTAAATATGGCGACTTAAGCTGATTTGAGTGTAAATTTGATACCTGCATCATGCAGGTATCACATTTACGCTTGATTAGTTACTGCACAGTAACAGCACGTGTAGATGCCTCACTGCGCAGTAACACTGTTTGTGGACTGACTTGGGCCTAACTTTAGTCCCAAGTCAGTCAACACACAAAGTTAATGCTCTTTAATACCTGCATGTGTAGACACCAGCCTGTTCCCGCTTACTGCGCAGTAACTTACTGTGCAGCAAATTTAAGCTGGCGTAAATGCACACGTAGACACGCCCTGCATGTTGTTGGGGTCCTGTTACTATAACGATGGGTATCAGGCACAGTTGTTTTTTCAGATGTTTACTTTGAAAACTTCTGACTCTCACTGTTTATTCATGTGCATCTATTTTTTTTTCTTGCAGAAGCAGGAGTCAGACATGGTGGATTTGCCATTCCAAGGCCAAAAGGTGCGAGACATTTTGGCTGCAGTGCTTACAGGCGTAAACCGCCCCCCACAAAAAATGGCACATTAAACTCCATGTGCCCCCACGCCGAGCCCAGCCCATGCCCAGAAGAGGCATCAGATTAGCTGGACCTGGATCACCCAATGTCTGGATCGATCAGGCATTTGAGTGGGGGTTTTTTGGTGCTTTTATCTGTAGCTGATTGTCGTTTAGGCATTACCTTTGGTGCATTATATTTGATTCAGAATCCAAATGGGAAAGTCTGTATTTTAAATAGAAACAAAACCTCTTTTAAGATTTCAAATCATTGCCAGCCAATTGGCTCATTTCCACACGGCCCTGCAAATTGGGAGAGGATGCATCCTGATGAATAATTATGGGTATTGATTTTCTTTCCTGTTAACTGTTTATATTACGGTAGCCTCCAGATGTCCCAACTGAAGCTGTGGACAAATGTAACCAGAGATATTTCTTAGCAGAAGCACACAAGATCTTTGACCCTTGATCTTCTTCTCCCCGCTCCATCATGAGCAATGCCATTTTGCCGGGGTCATTCCCACTCTGAGGTCAGCATAGGAAGCTCCAGGAACTTCTTCAGGTTTCTGTTCTGCCTAGGGAAACCCCGCCTCTTATTGGCTGTTTTTCCTGTAGCCCAACCTCCTGGAGAATAGCAGCCAATCAGGGCCAAGTAGTGCTCACCCCTCAAACCTTAGGAGACGTGGTCTCACCTGGTGGTCCAGCCTATTGCTAATGGGAGAAACTCAACCTCCAGCTCCAAGGAGGCATCATGGCCTTGTTTCCAAATGGAAACCCTTTAGGTCAGGGGTGGGCAAAATGTGCCCCGTGGGCCGGATGCGGCCCGCCAGGCCATTCTATCCGGCCCACGGGGCCCCTAAAAAATTTAGAAAATTAATATTTATCTGCCCCTGGCTGCCTGTCATGCAGCCCTCGATGGCTTACCCTCGATGGCCCTCCACCCAAAATAATTGCCCGCCCCTGTTCTAGGTGTTTTTGCCACATTGGTCAGCATTTAAAATCCAGCCTATATAATTAAATGTTTCCAAGGAAATTTCTTGACAAAATGTCTGCAAGAAAAACGTCCTGTAGCTGTCCTTCCCATGTGGAAACACAAGCAAGCCTCTCTCTTTCCCGTGTGAACCACCGATTTACCCTGCCATCCCTGTGACCATCGCCGTGGCATCCGGGCACTAATAGAGGGCTCTTGTCGGTAAAGGAACGGCCTTTCCATTTTTCTTTCAACAGGGAGAAAAGGGGTCTCCTGGAGCCCGCGGTGACAAAGGAGAAAAGGTAGTTTTCACTCTATGCTTTGTATTGTGTGGTTCGGGGGTTTTTGACAAGAATATATGCTACAGGTGATCTGTTCTGGCCTGAGTACCAGATACCATGGGAGATGGGTCTGGTTATCTGATACCAGCAGCTAATTGAGCCACCAGCAGCAGGTAAAGTCAGGGATGAATAAATGGGGCTCTGATTGCCACAAGAGAAAGGTGCTTCTTGGGGGGCCCCAGAAATATGTATATTCTTTGTGGAGGGGGGTTGCAGGATTAAAACTGATGGGGAATGTATTGATGAGATCGCTTCTCATCCCAAAAGGTGGCTTTCCTAAAACTGAACTTTTTTTTTTGCCAAAACATAAGGTCCAGTTTCAACCTGGATGGCATTGCTAGTCAGAACCAGAGCCCGAGAACTGCTATTGCTCAGGGGTTGCAGCTCTCCCCTGGGAGGTGGGAGAGGATAGGAAAGTCATAGGTGATGATAGGTGGCTAATTTAATAATGGATGTAATGAGATCATCCATATGAAACAGTATCTAAGATCATTTATATCAGGGCTGTTGAACTAGTGCTCCCTGGGCTGAATGCAGCCTCCGTACCCGCAAGAATGAGAACTGCCGTTTGCTGGGTCAGGCCATGGGCTCATCTTGCCCAGTCCCCTGTGTCACACTGAAAGGGAGAGTGACCTGGGTGTGACCAGGGTTTTTTCAACTTTTTCTCTCCCTTGCAGCCCCCAGCATTTAAGGCCTAGGAAGCTCTAATTCAGAGGCTGTCTCCCTAACTCCCATGCTCAATAGCTACTGATGTCCCTTTCCTCCAAAAATATGTCCAATACTTTTTCGAACCTGGTTAGACTCTCAACATCGGCTGGCAATGAGTTTCACACTTCAGAGTCATAAAATCATAGACAATGAGGGTCAGCAGGGAGCTCAGGGGGTCACATCTAGTCCAACCCCCTGCTCAAAGCAAGACCAGGTGCAACTACATCATCCCAGCCACGGCTTTCATCTGCCCCCACTGAGAACGGTCCAGCTCCATCCTTTTTGCAGCCCATCTGCAGGGAGATGAAGGCTACTATACAATCCCCCTCAGTCTGCTCTTGTTGAGACTAAATAAACCCAGTTCCCTTGGCCTCTCTTCACAAGTCGTGTCCTCCAGCCCCCAAACCATTTTTGTTGCCCTCAGCTGGACTCTCTCCAATTTCTCTGCATCCTTTCTCTAGTGGGGGGGGCCCACAGCTGGACACAGGAGTCCAGATGTGGCGTCACCAGTGCAGAATGGAAGGGAAGAATCACTTCCCTTGATCTGCTGACAACGCTCCTACCAATGCAGCCCAGGATGCTGGTAGCCTCCTTGCAACAAGGGCACACTTTTGACTCATGTCCATCTTCTTGTCCACTGTCCCCCCAGGTCCTTTTCTGCAGAGCTGCTGCCCAGCCAGTCACCCCCAGCCTGCACCAGTGGATGGGATTGCTCTGTCCTAAGTGCAGGGCTTTACACTTGTCCTTGTTGAACTGCATGAGATTTCCTTTGGCCCAATCCTCCAACGTGTCTGCTCAGCTAGTTGGTCCCCAGCCTGTACTTTAATTCCATGCTGTGTGCAAAAGAACGTCCTTGTGTTAGTTATACGCTCCCCACCTAGTCATTGCATTTTGCAACCCCTAGTTCTTGTATCGAGAGAGATAGTCAATAATAAATCCCTAGTGACATCCTCTTCACCATTTAGTATGTTGTAAACCTTTCTCATGCTCCCCCTCAAGCATCCCTTTTGTAAACTGAATCGGCCTGGCCCCTGTAGTCTCATCTCATGTGGAAGCCCCTCCGTGCCACTAATGATCTGAGTTGCCCATCTTCTCTGGACCTTCTTTATGTCCTTTTTGAGGAATGGGACCCGATGAGCTGGTGTGTGACTCCCAGCCTGTCACTGCCCCGCTCCTGCCACAGCAGCCAGGCTCTCTGGGCTCTTCTGGCTTCTGCTTCCTGCTCCTGTGGATGGGGCTGTGCTGCACGGGGGGCTAGGCTGGGGTGTCTGCACTATAGCTGGAGGGAAAGGGGTGCTGTGATGGGAGGAGGGAGTCAGGCTGCCCACACTGCGGGTGCAGCAAGGGGGTGGAGTGCATGAGGCTGCCCTTGCAACAAGGGCAACCCCGGGACCAGGGGAAGAGCTGCCCTCCATCCCACTATGCTAGTTCTTGCATAGTGGGATAATGGTTTTCTTCTCGGCTCTGCCGGGGCTGCCTGTGCACCGTGTACAGCTTCTTTTGGGTGGCTCAGCCTGTTACACCCAGCATGACGCTGGGGCCTTTCTTTTATACAAGAGATGTACAAGCAAATTTTTATACAAGAGAAGTGCAAGAGAAGCTGAAGCC